CTCAATTTTGTCTATAGGCTTGTTTTTAATACAACAAAATAGGTTCTTAATACATTTTTCTAGGCCGAAATGGAAATATTGTCCAGGAAAAACAATTTTATATTCCAAATTTCTAGGTGTATGTAGTAAACTTCTGGCATCAAGGGGCAATTCATTAAAAGTTGGTTTCAATCGTTTTAATAAATCAGACAATGCAATATGAGATATGTTGAATTTTAAAGCCCACTCTGTTAATTCCGAAGTGATATCTTTTTTTTTTGTAATATTGTCACTGACTCCTAAATTTTGGACAACATTGGAAATTGAATCTTCTAAATCTGAAAAAGGTGAGGGTGAAACTGGGGGTGAAAGGGAAATATTGATATCTAATTCTTTATTGCCATCAAGATCAGGAGGATCTGCCCCGGGATCTGCTAACGTTAAGTCATTATTGAAATTCTCAGAAGCTACCATGAGTGGTGTGGCGTGTATATTCACATTATTGCGAGCATTATTGTCAGCTTGGAAATTATTACTTAAGTAAACATCAGAAGAAACATTATTTTCTTGATTATTATTAGTTCCACATATATTTTCCAAACTCATATCACTATGCAATTTTGCTTTTCTATATTTTGATCTGGAAAGTTTAGGCATTTTATTTGAAAAGTGAGTTGAAAAGTCAAGTAATCATCTAAATACTGTTTCACTGCTATCTATAAATCTATAATCTCATCAAATAACAGTGTTTTCCAACCTAAAAACAAAAAAGATCTATATCAGAAAATAGGTAGTACCTATGAATAATTTTAATTTTCTCACTAATTATGTATTCACCAAAATAAAAGTTAGAACAGTACCCAAATCTATAGACAGCTCGACTGTAATTTTTTTTTTTTCAAAAAAACTATTAGATTGATATTTGAGGTTGTATCAAGGTATAACTTAGGTCTCATCTATAAATATACCTACTCTTCATCTAGCAAATAAGTAAATTATAAAACGGGCTACGACCAAAAAAATTTGCCTTTTTTTTTAGATGAAATATTCATAGCAAAAAATCATAAATCATAAATAATGAACCAAAAATATTTTCATGTTTTGATAATAATTTATTGACGCCATATTGACTGGGTTTCAAAATTTATTGACACATTATGGTTAGATTTTACGATTTCTTTCTAATTTTGTGATAAGCAGAAATAATTAGGTAGGTATATCTATTAATTTCTTACCTGATGGGTGATTGATCCAACAACATCCAACACTGCAACACGACAAAACTTTTGCGAAAAAAATAAATAAAACGATAGCGTCCTGCTCCCCGGGGTCACTGGTTTCAATGGAAATGGTGGCGTTGTGTTGTGTGCGGTGACTATGTACTACAACACTACACCTACAGATTAATTACTAGAGGAACGTTCTTCAAACGATAATTCTGATTTTCTGAAAGGCGGAAACGAACAACTACCTGTTTTTTGGCAATTTTTAAAGTAGAATAATTCCGTTGTTGCGTACGAATACAGCGGTAGAGTGTATCGTTCAAGCAGGCAGCAGCATGAAGGAGTAATGGCTGCTGCTGGAGTGCTGGCTGGCCGCGCAGATGGCGAAACGCAAGATGCCGCGCCCTGATTGGCTGGCGCTCGGTCACGTTAACTTCTATCCCTTTTAATTGGGTGACTCCGTAGCGCTCCTATCGACTGTACCACTGTACTATCGACTAATTTCTTAGACAGAATTTCACAAATGGACCACTAATACCTACCTACCACAACTTATTAATAAATTAAATATTTGAAAATTCATTTTTGATTGTATATAAGTACTTCACTAAATAGTTATCCACTAGAAAGTCATTGGACATCCCAGGAGTTTATGCCATGCATGCATCACAAAATTATTTCGATTTATAGGTTCATTTATGGACACTGAATGGATTTCCAATGGATATCCATTCCTGGCAGTTCAGTAATTGTCCAAAAAAAAAGTCCACTGGATGTCCATTTCAAGACCATGATATTTATTTACATTTGTGGACATTAAATGGAATTCCAATGGATATCCGTTCCTTTCTGTCCATTTAATGTCTAAAAAATATAGTCCAATGGATGTCCAGTTTGTGACCATGATTTTTATATACATTTGTGGACGATAAATGGATTTCCAGAGGATATCCGTTTCTTGTGGTTCAGTTTTTGTCCAGAAAATATAGTCCATTAGATGTCCAGTTTATGACCACGATTTTTAGAAACATTTGTGGACACTTAATGGATTTCCATTGGATATCCGTTTCTGGCTGTTATCAGTTATTGTCCAAAAAATATAGTCCATTGGATGTCCATTTAATGTCCCTGGACATCTGTACATATTTTGTACCTAAAATGGATATCCATCGGATGTTGGGTGTTATCTGGGCTGATTGCTTTAGATTTCCTCGCGATTTCTCCTTATTTGTACGGTTAAACCGCAGGTCAGTTTTTGTACACCAGATTGCGGTTTTAGATGAAATCATGGATGATTTCCTATGATTTTCCCTTATTTCTTCTAATTACTATACCAGCAAGATTTCCCCTGATGACATAACCTTAAATTATAAAGATTTTTGAAAACTGTGCATGCGTTAGATCTAGAAACTGACTGATTTCTTTAAGATGTCCGGTGATTTCTTCAAGATTTCCCCGAAGATCCTTGAGATTTCCCGTAATTTCCTCTGATTTCTTCATGATTTCCTTATGATTTCACCTGGATTGCCAGAAATTTTCTCGGATTTCCTCTTGATTTCTCCTAATTTGTACGGGTGTACCGCAGGTCAGTTTTTGTATACCAGATTGCGGTTTTAGAGAAAATCATAGATGATTTCCCCTGATTTCTTCTGATTAGCGTACCAGTAAGATTGTCCAAGACTTCCCCTGATAACATAACCTCAAATTATGAAAATTTGTGAAAACTGCACATGCGTTAAATCTATAGAGATTGACTGATTTCCCCAAAATTTCCCATGATTTCCTTGAGATTTCCGCCGAAATCTTTGGGATTTCTCTTCATTTTGTCATAATTTCCAATATCTATAATTTCCTCTAATTGCTTTAGATTTCCTCGTGATTTTTAGTTATTTGTACGGGTAAACCGCAGTATATATACCAGATTGCGGTTTTAGAGAAAATCATGGATGATTTCGCCTGATTTCTTCTAATTACTGTACCAGTAAGATTGCAGACTTCCTGTGATAACATAGATATCATAACCTCAAATTATAAAGATTTTTTGAAAACTGCGCATGCGTAAGATCCAGAGATTGACTGATTTCCCGTGATTTATTCAAGATTTTCCCAAAGATCCTTAAGATTTCCCGTGATTTCCTGTGATTTTTTCATGATTTGCTTTGATTTCTCCTAGATTGCCCGACATTTACTCAGATTTTCTCTTGATATCTCCTAATTTGTAAACCGCAGGTCACTTTTGTACACCATATTGCGATTTTAGAGGAAATCATCGATGATTTCTTGTAATTACCATACCAGTAAGATTGCCTGAGACTTCCCCTGATAACATAACCTCAAATTATGAAAATTTTTGAAAATTACGCATGCGTTGGATCTAGAGATTGAGTGCTTGCGAGACTTCCTTTGATTTCCTTATGATTTTCCCTGATTGCCTTAGATTTGCTCGAACTTTCTCTTGATTTTCTCTTATTTATACAAGTAAATCGCAGGTCAGTTTTTGTACACCAGATTGCGATGTTGGGGGAAATCATGGATGATAAAGATTTTTGAAAATTGCGCACGCATTAGATCTAGAGTCTGATTTCCTTCAGATTTTTCGCGGTTTGCTTAAGATTTCCCATTGACCTCTAACCTAGGATAGACACCACAAGTCATTCATAAAATTACTCCGCCAAAAATCAGGAACGATCTTGGGAAAAATTATTTATCTTGTTTTGGCAACATCGTTTTCGAACGACCGGTCCATACACTCCATAAGCAAGCTAAAAACAACAAATATTGACTTGGCAACCACGTTGATATTCGTTACCGAAAATGAATAAAAAATGTGTACGATACTCTAACAGCGTTGCCGGTTTGATTTGTAGAGTGGCTTCTTCGAGGATACTTACTGTGTTTGCATTGATTCTCCTAAGTTTCTATATCTATATCTATATCTATATCCAAATTCGAAGAGAGACAATATAATCAGAGAATAAATATTCTTTCACTAGTGTGGGAATTAAGCTATTCCGTAATCAAAGACTAAGTCGGAATGGACGAATTCACTAATAGTCGTAGAAAAAACCTCCCGGTCATTTCATGTATTAGATATTCAAACTTGTTCAGAAAATCATACGAACTGTGATCACAATTTTAATTTACATACGTCCCGATATTTTTATTTTCTGTCGATATGGCAATGGCGCAGTATTGTTTGTAAATACCAGAGTATATTTATGATTTCGATTAGGAAAAAGTTGTGATCTATCCTTGTCAGGTCAATGAGATTTCCCCTGAGATCCTCAAGATTTCCCTTGATTTTATCATGATTTCCTTTGATTTCCTTATGATTTTCACTGAATTGTCTTGATTTCTACTATTTGTAAGGTTGAACTGCAGGTCAGTTGTTGCACACCAGATTGTGGTTTTCTGCTGATTTCCTTAAGATTTTCCGTGATTTCACTAGGATTTTCCCTGAGTATTTTGAGAATAGAAACTTTTACCGTCTCGACATTTCTTGAATTCCTGGAATGTATTTAATAATCGGTAGTACTTAAGTCTATCTCTCTTATCAATAACTTAACTGAAGCCTCCAAAAATGGATTTTGCCATTTCTTGATAATGCGTTTCTCTACTACAAAAAGAGAGGAAAACTATTTCGGTAGGAGGAAAAAGTTTTCCTCCCAGCAAGAAAAAATATAAATCTAACGCTTACCAACTACATATTCATAAACACTTTCTCTGTTAGTAAATCTTGTAGCATTCTTTTTTGAAGAATTAGTTTTCCCAATAACATAAACTCTGTTCGGTTTCCAGTGCTGGTGGTTTGGTAACCGCCGTAGCGCCAGTAGTCATCAACGGCAACGGTTTCTGGGTGGGTTGGCCTGGCATCCATTTGGAAAATCCCAACGAACCGATTCCAGAGAGCGATCCCGACGACATCACTCCCACTGCAGGACTCAAATCCGACAAAGTGATAGCAGTACAAATCGATCCGGCAGTCTTCGATTCCTACTACAATGGATGTTGCAACGCTACGTTCTGGCCCTTGTTCCACTCCATGCCCGACCGAGCCAGTTTCAAAGGTGAACACTGGAAAAATTACGTAACAGCCAATAAAGAGTTTGCCGAGTGCACGTTGAGAGCTCTTAGACAATTACCGCGCAACAACACCGAATCGCCGTTGATTTGGGTGCACGACTACCATCTGATGCTGACATCTAACTGGATCAGACAATATGCCGATGAAGAAGGTATCCCTTGCAAGTTGGGCTTCTTTTTGCACATACCTTTCCCACCGTGGGACATTTTCCGGCTGTTTCCTTGGTCTGACGAAATCTTACAGGGCATGCTCGCCTGCGACATGGTCGGCTTCCACATAACCGACTATTGTCTGAACTTTGTCGACTGTTGTCAGCGCAATTTGGGCTGTCGTGTCGACAGGAAGAACCTTTTGGTGGAGCACGGTGGCAGGACTGTTAGGGTGCGCCCTTTACCCATCGGCATACCTTTTGAAAGATTCGTCGAGTTGGCCGAGCAAGCTCCGAGGGTGATTTCGACCAACCAAAAAATTATTTTAGGGGTAGATAGATTAGATTATACCAAAGGTTTAGTGCACAGATTGTTGGCGTTTGAGAAGCTATTGGAAAAACATCCTGAGCATTTGGAGAAAGTTTCGTTGTTGCAAATTGCCGTGCCGTCGAGGACGGATGTTAAGGAGTATCAGGAGTTGAAAGAGGAAATGGATCAGTTGGTGGGCAGGATTAACGGACGGTTTACTACACCCAATTGGTCACCAATTAGGTAAGAATAATCATACAGTTTAGCTGAGTTTTATTATTATTATTATTTTTTTTTATAGATACATCTATGGTAGTTTGTCTCAAGACGAGTTAGCCGCCTTTTACAGAGACGCGGCCGTAGGTTTGGTGACGCCTCTGAGAGACGGTATGAATTTGGTGGCCAAAGAATTCGTCGCTTGTCAAATCAACATACCTCCGGGTGTACTGATAGTGTCGCCGTTTGCTGGCGCCGGTGAAACTATGCACGAAGCTTTAATCAGTAATCCTTACGAAATTGATGATGCCTCAGAAGTAATTCATCGGTAAGAATCAGTATATTTTGATGTTTCATTTTGAACTATGAGGTCATGAGTGAAAAATAGTTTTGTCTTTTTTTTATATTTATTTTAATTTGAAGACATAATACATCCACATTACAATACAATCAATAAACCCGATGACATTTTTACTGTCAGTTCTATCACACCGTACTGGTGGCTGACAATAGTTGTTCGCACATACTTTGCAGTGAACTGCACTTACAAACTACAACACAGGTACTCTAACCCAACACGCTCTCGCAATTCTGTGTTGGTTCACATTTCTATTTATATAAATAAAATGAAACATTATGTAGTATAACATACGCGGGTTCGTTCAGTAAGATTGAACGATGAGAATTTTTATTACCTTTTAAACAACAAATCTCCTGAAAAACGAAATGAAAAACAAATAGGACTTACGTTGTGGAAACTTACTCAATTTTACTTACTGGACATGCGCCCGACATAGCAAATATTTGGGAAATTTAAGGGAAGTTGTGATATGTAAGAGAAACGAAAAATTTGTGACACGTCTACTTTATTATTAAAGTAAAACGTACCGTTCTCATCCTGGAACTAAAGAGGGGAAAGAACACGGCAGAGAAACCCTCGATCTACATTCCTCAAAAATCGAAACATACTGTGTCATTTTAATAATAATTGTGAGTCATTAATTCAATAATTTAAATCAATAAAAGTTCAAATTAGGTACCGCCCCTGTTCTTGTGCTAAACTTTCAATAACACACACTACATTCAATCAACACTACCTATAATCAATACTGAAGTGTTTTTGGTTAGTTAGCCGGTCTGCCGGAAGGTACTGAGGTCCCATACGGGATGCTACCCAGCTATAGTTGTTTTTGAGCCAATATCTCTAGATTGATTATTTTAATTTGCTAGGTAGGATATTCTCTCGTCAGGGTATGAAAATGTTAGTAAATTTAACAAGGCCCTAATGCACGCTCTGAATACACAAAATTAAAATCTCAGCACAAAAAGACAGCACATAATTTCTTAAGTTTTAATTTACTTCTTTATCTGTATTGTTTACAGCATGAAACTCTAGAATCTGAAAGATAGTGAAAAGCTGGTCAGTTGTTGACCTACCGCTTCGAAAACAGCATTGGTAGTCTCCGGAAATTTCTTCGGTATATGAAGAAAGACGTTGAAGAAGAGTGTTAGAAAATATTTTGGAGACGCGACTTAGTAGTGCAATACCTCGATAGTTTTTACACAGCATTTGGTCCCCTTTTTTGTGGAGTGGGATAATAACACCTTCTTTCCATTCGTCGGGAATGACTTCTTGATTCCAAATTTGTTGCACGAGGCTGTGTATTTGTATGGTAAGATCGTCCCGTCCATGTTTTAGACTCTCTGCCAAGATATTATCTCGGCCCGCCGCTTTGTTATTCTCAAGTTTTCTAATGGCTCTAGTTGTCTCCTCCATGGATACGGGTGGGATATTAGCCTCTGCTGTAGGGAATACACTACATTCGGGTTCTTCCTGCGACGGTATTTTCAGTAGTTCATCAAAGTTGCCTTTCCAAGTGTCCAGTACTTCCGCTTTGGAGGCAGTAACCGAGCCATCGTTACGCTTTAGCATTGTGGCACTTTTTGGGCGGTATCCGTTTTTGCGCCAACTTACTTCTTTGTAAAGTCTCCTTGCATTGCCGTTCTGTAAGTTAAGTACTTTTTCTGTCTCGTGCTCTCGTTCTCAGATCGTTAAATCTAGCTGTCGTCGAGTCTGATGGACTGACAACAGCTGGCATATTAATTCTCTGTCAACATTTCCATACCAGTAGCTTTTATTTGACTTATTATTTGATCAAAATCGGTAAAGAATGTATTTAACTGGGTTTTTTTTCCATAATTATCATTGACCTTAGCTTCTTCTGCAGTTGTACCTGCATAGATATTCTCTTTTCAACGTATTATTATCCTGTTCTAGAGATTCCATAATTTCCTTCGTTGATTTTTTATCTTTTATTGTTTATAACATGTCTGCCAGACACTGGACGATTAAGTTTCGAGCCTTTGCATCAGTCTTTTTGTAATGAGGTAATATAGTCCGGCAAATACCATTTTAAAGTCACGTGATATTGGTGGCAAAAAAACATATGTCCATTGATTATGTCGTTGATATCACCTACAAAAAGCTACTAGTGGTTAATTACTATTGAATTTTAAGATATGTTCCCAATAGCATTTTACAAACGCGTTTCTGAAGTAGTATTGACCAATCAGATGGAAATTTTAATATTTGCAATTGTTGTGAGACTCACTTTTGTCGCATCTGCTGTCCATTGTAATACATTCTGAACTTGAATTGGGTACCCGATTTTTATTTGCTTCTTTTCGAGTTGGAAAAGGGTCAATTTATTAGCTGTGTTTGTTCGTTGTATCATTTTCCAAAATAACTTTGACAAACTAATTGATGACAGTGACGGATTCTATTTCAGGTAAGAATATTATGAACAATAATTAGACACCAATTTTTTTGTCAATTTTGCTATCACCGCTATTTGAGATGTATTCAACAAGGATAGAGAAAAATCACGTGACTTTAAAATGGTATTTGTTGGACTATACCTGCTGCGTTTCCGCAGACTCTGTAACAACATCCAGGGCTTCAGCTCGTTCAAGCAATAATTTAACTCGAAATTCCCAATTCAAATAATTATTACCATCGAGTGGTGTCACACTAGTATACTGAAAATTCCTTGTTAGAAAGATTTTTTCAGGTAATCACCAACATGAATACTGGGAATCGACCCACTGAGCAGTGGATTCAGACTTCCCGTGCCAATCCTTGACGCGTTTCGTCCTTGTTAGGACTCATCAGAAGGACATAGACTGAAGCTCCCTGTTCAAGCAAAATTGAACTTCGTTGATCAGTCAGAAATAACTACTCCGAGGGCAAATACCCCTACCGGCGTTGAACTACACTGATTGGTCTGAGCTTTCGTTGGCAATGAAAATTGTTAGAACGATTTTTTCAGGTAATCACCAACGTGAATACAGGGACTCTACGGTCCTAACAAGGACGAAACGCGTCAAGGATTGGCACGGGAAGTCTGAATCCACTGCTCAGTGGGTCGATTCCCAAACAGGGACCGTAGTGTCCCTGTATTCACGTTGGTGATTACCTGAAAAAATCTTTCTAACAATTTTCATTGCCAACGAAAGCTCAGACCAATCAGTGTAGTTCAACGCCGGTAGGGGTATTTGCCCTCGGAGTAGTTGTTTCTGACTGGTCAACGAAGTTGAAAATTCCGTGTATCCATGTTTCAATAATTAGTATAACTGCTAAATTTTCCTTGGAATTTTTCTTTCCAATGTCCGCAATCATTTTTTACTTCTGATTTTCCGAATTTTCACTGCTAAACAAGTAAGTACGACGCAAACTCCCGCGACTTACATGTGAACTGGGCCCATAACCTATTGAACTATGAAGTCATGAGTGAAAAACAGTTTTGTCTTTTATCATATTTATTTTAACAACTTGAAGACATATTACATCAAAAACGTCAAGCAAACAACCAGAGATCCAACAACCAACAAACTTTGTTGACTTTTTTACTGTCAGTTCTATCAAACCAATGACCTATTAACACAGATAGTTAGAACATCCCATTGATAAAATAGCTTTGTTTTGGTTGACTACATGTTTATGGGCCAGGGGGGGTGAGCTGTGAAAGCGGCTAGGAGTAGGGATTCAAATGATTCCGCTAACTCCGCCCCGATTTTACTATCGCATACTTGGCAACTCTGAAAATGAAACCAGAATCAGTGCTACAAAAGTGTATCTTTATCCTTATATTTTACATAATTTTAGAAAAAGATGCGGATACACTCACTGCGCACTGATTGACAAATGGAAATTGTCCTAAAATACCTGCAGGTCGCATTTTGATATGACAATTAGATAGAAGCCGCTGATTGGTGGAAAGGTGGAATTCGAGGTGGGATTTATTTTTTTGCAACGTTGCTAATTTTCATTGAAAAATAATCGCTTTTTACGTGTTAGAGAAAGATACAAAATAACACAAGGATTAATAAGTAGTGGGGAGAGATGCGGTTCCTGGCATGTAGTCAACCGATAATCAGGCCTATGATGTATCCTCTGCTGTTATTTTAACAGTTGTGTTATAGCTCAAAATCTATACCTGTCTCTATTTTTACGTGTAGAATAAACAGCGACAGATAACTTAACGTTGCTGTTAAAATAACAGAAAATGATACATCATAGGCCTGATTATTGTTTATTGTTCTGTCTATCTGTGTTAATAGGTCATTGTATCAAACTATCACACCTTACTGGTGGCTGACAAGTTGTTCGCACATACTTGCAACGAACTGCACTTATAAACTACAACACAGAAATGTACTCCAACATTTTACAGCAATACCAAAAAGCTTGCTTCATGAGTCTTTTCAAGACATCAAAATGAGGTTTGCACCAATGAAAATTTCATAAAATTTCTACCTCAGACTGGGAGTTTCATTTTTTTGCATCTCATCCAGACTCAGAAATTGAGTGTCCAAATTGTAACTTCAGATTTGTTGTTAACAGAGCTCTTACAATGCCCGAAGACGAACGAATCCTGAGAATGAACTACTTAAGAAGACGAGAAAAACTCAACGACGTCAATTATTGGACGAAAAGTTTCCTAAGCGCGATGGGTTCTTTACAAACGGCCGACGACCACGACGAAGTCGGTTCGATTCTGATGCCCGCAGTAACTCTGGACGATTTCGACGAATACCTGGCCAAGTACATCGGCAACTCGCTGAAATTGGCCCTTTTGCTGGACTACGACGGTACTTTGGCCCCGATAGCGCCTCATCCGGACTTGGCCATAATCCCGGCCGAAACTAAAAAAGTCCTGGAAAGGTTGTCCAACCTGTCTGATGTCTATATTGCTATAGTGAGTGGCAGAAATGTCGATAATGTTAAACAAATGGTTGGCATCGAAGGCATTACTTATGCTGGTAATCACGGCTTGGAAATTTTACATCCGGATGGTACAAAATTCGTTCATCCAATGCCTACGGAATTTCATAATAAAGTAGGCGACTTGATGAGACAATTACAAGAAACTGTTTGTAAGGATGGAGCTTGGGTTGAAAATAAAGGTGCTTTGCTGACGTTCCATTTCAGGGAAACTCCTCATCATTTAAGGTAAAGATTTTGTTTTCTTGGCTTTGAGATTCTTTTTTTTTAAATATGTAATTTTAGGGCCGATTTAGAAACTCAAGCAACGAAAATGATCGAAGACGCAGGATTTACTGTTGGTAAAGCGCACTGTGCCATCGAAGCCAAACCTCCGGTGCAATGGAACAAGGGTAGAGCTTCGATTTACATTTTGAGAACGGCATTCGGAGTGGATTGGAGCGAGAGAATACGAATCATTTACGTTGGAGACGATGCCACCGACGAAGATGCTATGATGGTAATATTTTGTACAAAACAATCATTGTATTGAAACCTGAAAGTCTTAAACCGAAAATAATCTAAAATTAAAGTTTGCAAAAAGGCACTATTTATAAACTACTACATCTATCTATCTATCTATCTATTCAGCCTTCTTCAGTCCATCTTTGGACGTAGACCTCGTCCTTAGTCTTTTCCATTTCTCTCTGTCTGTTGCCATGTTCATCTACCTGGTTCCAGCGTGCTTCTTCGTGCATCTTCCAAGGTCTCCAACTTATATAGTGCCCTTTTGCATGGATTAATTTTGGTTTTAGAATTTCCATTTTTCCTTGCCTTCCACAGAATTCATTTCTAGAACACAATTAGCAATTATCAAAATAAATTCTAGGCTCTGAAAGGTATGGCAGCTACTTTCCGTGTCACTTCGTCGCACATAATCAAAACATCAGCGGAAAGACGTTTGCCTTCGACCGATTCAGTACTGACCATGTTGAAATGGGTGGAAAGGCATTTGAGCAGGAGGAAGCCTTCGATCGATCCCGGCAATTACCGAAGAAATTCGATGGCAAAATCAGTTACTTCGGCTGTTCAAATTGAAATGTCCATGCAAGTAAGTTATAAACTGATTCTGATATATTTTTTTTTAACATTTTTTTTAAGGTTCCTGGCAATTCTAGTCCACCATCGCCCAGCAAAAGTACGAATTACTTAAGCCCGACGTCGAACAACAATTCGAATAATTCCCATTAGTGATTTTGTTTTGTGATCAATTTTTTTCTTGCTTATTGTGAAAGTGAATCCACTCCAAATAATAATTTGTCCCAAATCTAAGATTCAATACTCGTATTTTTTATGTATGTATATTATATGTTTTTTTTTCAATAATTTATCGTGGATTCTTTATATATTTAGTTAAAAAGTAATATCTTGTAATCGAAGCAAAAATAATTATTGACCCAAGACTAGAATTCGTGTAGACTGATAAATTGAATGTTTTGCACATACGAAGCAGAATTTAAAATATTTATTTCTTTTATTGTGAAATATGTGTCTTTTTTTTTTAAATAGTTTTTAATGTAATATTAATAATAATAATAATATACTCTTTGTTGTTCGTTAAGCAATTGATTGACGAGCAAACTTTCACTATACAAAAACCGATTCCTAAAACAATATTTTTAGATCCGAAGCAAATATACAAGATTTAATAATTATTATTTTCATTCTCATATAAATTTTCATCCCGCACGTCCATATTTTAATCATAAGAAGTGAAAAAAAATTATATCTTGTTGTCTTGTTGCGTTTTATTTTACCCTAAAAAAAAATATATTCAATACATCTCTGTTATAAGTGACATATGCGCAAACTCATGTCAAACCAATAAATAGTGTATAGTAGGGAGTGGACAGATAATTATTTTAGTTGCTCAGTAGGTCTTCTAGAGTGCGGACGCTTAATAATTTATTATGGCTAAAAGTGAAATTGATAAGTACGAGGATTATCTAGCAGAGTAAGTTGACCTCATATTTGTCATCATAGAATAAGGTTTATAGTGGGGATAGAATGAGAATGGACACTCGCGTAGACGAGTCAAACAACCATTTGTGGTGCCATCTGTTGTCTATGAAATGAGCTCATCCCATTGTAGCAGCTTGTGGAGCAGCTTCCTTCTATTTTTTTTAGATTTGCTTTTCATTTATTATATGATAAAGACACAAGCTGATACAAATTTAACAAATAACGGTTAATTACAAAGAAAGAGGAAAGTTATGATGGCGTTTCGCGACTTGCCAACAAAGTCTATACCTATACTTAACAACAAAGAATTAAATAACAATAATAGTCTTTACACTAAATATAATACTGTGAAAGTCCGCAAATACACACAGATAACGATCTATTAGCAATATGAAACACTTTTTTAACAAACAGAAATATTAGTAGCCGCTTTCGGAAAGTGTGATCCAATTATTCGGTTCGATCGGATTAGTAATTTCATCGTTCGTAAAATGATCCGAGGTCAAGTACTCGTGTTCGGTAAGTGATCTTGTTGACTCGGTTTTCTCATATGTTTGTGATCTCATTAACCCTGCTCTTGACGTGGGTAGAAAATTATTCTATCAGCTGTTTGATTTTTTTGGTTATATTATTATATGTTATAGTTATTCATTTTACCTACCTATATGTTTTGTTTCCGTTTTGTCAAGTTTTGGATTTGAATTCTTGTGATTTATTGCGTTTGGGTCAAACCACTGGTCAAACAAAGGATTTTCATCAAATAATATATTTTGAAACAAAAAAGAAATTATGTGTTTTTTCAAACAACTTAAAAATTGAGAAAAAGCAAATAACGGGATTACAGAGTACGGTGCAGGCAACCAAAAACAACACAAGCAGTGTCTGAAGAAAAGTGAGAAAAGTCAAAGGTATACCCTAACCTCAAATCGTTGAAGGAAAACAAACGCGGATGCTGGTGATCGTCGATCCCAATCGTTCGAAATCGTTGGATAATCTACTCTGAAAACGAGCTAAGCCGCGATCAACTGATATTAACCTACACTCAATCTCGGATTCTACATTTCCGAAAGCAACTATTAAAACAACAATAAAATGACATCATCCTTCTTCTCCAGGGACTTTATTTTCGAAACAGGGGAGCAGCGTTCTCAGGAGAACGAAGGTTCTATCTTCATCGTTCGTATTCATATTTCCATAACACTGACAATGACAGAGCAGAAGTCCCAGAAGGGGAAATACCTTGGAGATACGATCAACAACGCATGCGCAAGTCAATGGGTGGCGCCTCTACCAAGCATGAAACAAGTTAATGTAGGTACATTTGAAAATCCCGGGGTATGATTTTCATCATCTACTATGTCATGAATAGCTATTTTATTTATAACGCCGCTTCTACCAGCTGACAGACTAGAGACGTCGTGCGTCAATCAGTAGTCGTCAAATTGGCTTCTTTTCTATACAGTAGTTGTTTTAGTTTTTTAGATAACAGAAACAGCATACATTAAGATAGTTACTGTGTACCATTGATTTAGTAATTACATAGTGATTAAACACAAGTGATCAGTAAGAAGGCCTCTATTTATTTGATTGACCCCGAAAATAACATGATTACAGCGTAAAAGTGCACTACAGTTTATTTTTTCCCAAAATAGATTTTGACATTGTCAACTTTGAAACATAAACAATGCCACTGATGCCGCCTATTCGTCGCAAAATGCCATTTGCATGCATTGTAAAATTGATGTCAATAACCTGCAGGGATACCTCATTTTGCCACCAATCAGGACCAAGCGGTATTGTTTATGTTTCAAAGTTTTCAATGTCAAAATCTATCTTGGGAAAAAATGAACCATAGTTGTTTGATCTTTGGCTATTCGTTGTGCTTCTGTTTCCTGAAGCCTGCAGGTAGGCAAAGAATTACAAACGTATGGTTGTTATTTGCTATTGAACAAAAAATCAGGAAACATGTCAGATAGCAGAACCCCGGAAGAAATGAAATGGTCAGGCGACCTTTCTGCATATTGGAAACTTTGGAGACAGAAAGGACGCCGCACAAATCTTATGGAAATTGGATTCATGTTAAATGTGATGAATTTTTGATATTTTGTAGAAGTCATGGTCCTTATCAAAAGTTACCATTGCACTAAATTCGAAAAATGAACAGTTTTTGAGAAAATTCATGTTAAAGTCGTTATAGAAATGCGCACGAATTATACACTCCGTGTGAGTGTTACACCAGTGCGACGCTCTAGCCGTTCCGATTCGTAATTTGGAGAAATTTTCTGTGCTTTTTTTGCTCCATTATTTACACACTACTATTATTTTTTTAATATTAACGTAATAATAAGTTCGTTTCTGCAGAAATGACAAACCAGAGTGAATTTTGTAGTATAACATACCCGGGTTCGTTCAGTAAGATTGAACGGTGTGAATTTTTATTACCTTTTAAACAACAAATCTTCTGAAAAACGAAATGAAAAAAAACAAATAGGACCTACGTTGTGAAGACTTCTCAATTTTACTTACTGGACATGCGCCCGATAAAGCAAATATTTGGGAAATTTAAGGGAAGCTGTGATATGTAAAAGAAACAACAAAAATTCGTGAAACGTCTACTTTATTATTAAAGTAAATCGTACCGTTCTCATCCTGGAACTAATGAGGGGAAAGAGCACGGCAGAGAAACCCTCGATCTACATTCTTCAAAAATCAAAGCATACTGTGTCACAGGGCCGTATCTAGACCAAAATTTTGGGGGGGGGTTAGGCAAAGTGGCAAAAAAAAATTGTTACACTAGTAATAAAAATAAAAAAAAATAAATAGGTATTTAATAAGTTTTGTTTGTTTTTAAGTTAAATTTTTTGAATTTTAATATTTTTCGGGGGGGGGGGGGGGGGGGGGTTCGAACCCCCAAAATCCCCCCCTAGATACGGCCCTGCTGTGTCATTTTAATAATTAATTGTGAGTCAATAATTCAATAAAAGTTGAAACAATGTACCACTCCTGTTCTTGTGCTAAAAATTTAATTACACACACTACATTCAATCAACACCACCTATAATCAATACGGAAGAATTTTTGGTTAGTTAGCCGGTCTGCAGGAGGGTACTGAGGTCCCATACGGGATGCTAACCAGCTATAGTTGTTATTTTGAGCCAATACGTCTTTCCTTTATTTGGTAGGATATTCGCTCATCAGGGTAGGAAAATGTTAGTAAATTCAACAAGGCCTTAATGCACGCTCTAAATCCAGAAATCAAAATCCTAGCACAAAAGACAGCACATAATTTCTTAGGTTTTAATTTACTTCTTCATCTGTGTTGTTTACAGCAGGAAACGATGTCACTCGCACTGGTTTGTCATTCCTGAACTCTACACATAGGGTTCAATATTTTATTATTTGTCCAAAACAAAATCTGTTTGTCGGTGAAACACTTAGGCCGGCTTCTCAATCTTCTCATGAGCGTAAACTTGACATAACTGGCGCAAATGCTGAATACGTGAATTTTGGCGCAACATTCACATGGAGTGGAGAATTTACGCCGCCGCGTATGTCAAAATTATATTTTTTTCCTAAATTTTGAAATATTTCTTTGAATTTTGATTGTACAAATTTGTATTTGTTTTTGCTTTAGTTCCAAATAGTTACAAATATGGACAGTAAATCACAAAAATCAAGACAACGAAACGGTTGCAACCTAAACCTCTAAAAACGCTGAATTTTTACGCGAAAAGTTGAACTTTGCTCAACTTTTGGCTTATCTGCGGCACAGTGTCAGCGTATCCAATATGGCGGAATTTTGGCCAATCAGAATTCTGCATTCAGGTACGCTGTCACGCCATAAATGTCAAATTACGCTCATGAGAAGCCGCCCTTAGTGGCAGAGAAAGACAAATATCCAACTATGATGCTCCCAATGCAACTTTTTTGCCGTGGCGCCATCTACTTGAAATTGCTTGAACTGTTTTCACCTTCAAAATTCGTTTTAAGGTCATCTCAAAAAATCCGCAATAATTTGCAAAATCCTTTGGCATAAACATTATTTGATATATTATCTACAATCTCTACAATAAGCTTTTTTTAGTGTTTCGTGGTTATCAATAAAATATGCCTTCCACGGATCCAAGCTTGATAAACATGCAAATATGCAACCACCAACACATTTAATTGTTTTGGTGGTTGCGAACATGATTTTTGAATAGGCTCGTTCAGTGAAATTTTTTTAACACGGTTTTTCACATTTTTATGGAGTATTACTCACATATAGCACATAAAAAAAATTTCAGCTTGATTGGATAAATATTATAGTTATTTACCTAACAAATGCGGAAAGTGATACTTTACCGCACGCAACGGCAGTTGACCGAACGACGCGGAGCGGAGTTCGGTCAAGCCGTTAAGGGCGGTAAAGGCACTTTCCGCATGTGTTAGGTACAAAATTTTACCTATGAGCATCTACATCTTAAAAAAAAGCATTGATAAAATTATTTATTGAATCAGATTAATTAATGAAATTAGATTAGATATAGAAATGATCAAAAATCCATTTTCTGAAAAAGAGAGGATTTCTGATTAAAAATATCAAATTTTACTTTACCGCACACTATACGGTAAAGTGCACTTTACCGCACATTTTGTAGTCCACTTTACCGCATACTATGCTGTAAAGTTAACTTTACCGCACACTATGCGGTAAAGTGATACTTTCCATTTGCAAATACGTGCGGTAAAGTGCACTTTACCGCACGCTCGTAGGTAAAAGAATTTACGCGTTTTTCAATATTAGGCAATTCAAACCACGTGACATTCAAGGTGGCGTGGCGGCCACACATGGACCAAAAAACACAAAAAAATATCTAGTTTCTGCCCGATTTAATAGTTTAGGTACCTAGTCAACAAATATTTTCTTAAATAATGAAAATCAAAGTTGTAAGCAAAACTCTAAGCAAAATAATCTAAAATACGCATAAAAACATATTCAAAACAAACTTG